GGACCTTACCGGGTTTCATCTATAATCGGTAAAGGCTCATAAAAATTAGAAAATCAAGATGGAGTTAAATTGCCAAGCAAACGGAACATAACTCACCTAAAAATGTATTATTGCTGAAGATCCTTGTTGGTACTGAAAGTATGTGCTGCACTCTTTATCCCTTCGACTAGTTTTAGTCCCGATTGAGTTTTTCTGGCAAAGTTTTTAATGTGGAAACAATGTAAAGCATACTATGAAGGAAAGATCATCGGCAAGCTGGTGAATCGACAACCAAAAGCTCTGATGCCTTCACTTTTGCACAACTCGTATGGCAACCAACCTGTGGATGATTAAATAATCTTTGGCTCGGTAGCTTAACTCATCTCCCAAGACTCTCATTGTCTCCATTGGCCTCTGGAAACATATTATTTACCCATCCACAATTTGTTTCCATTGATAAGACAGCAAGCAAAGCTTACTAAAAGGGAAGTGTCATCGACGAATGCAAGACTTCCAATGTTTTAATTTTCATGCTTAGCATCCAAACACTGGGGGGGGGGGGGAATAATACATGACAAGGAATTAAAAGTGTCACGAAGACCAGAGACTGTTAAAACCAGGATTAATGTCTTATCAGGACTGGGGACTGCATGATTAGCCCCGTAGAAATAAGTTGTACAAATTAATCACATGTATTGGCCGCTTTATTTACTTAAGCAAATGAATGTTTATGTAAATGTACTTTTAAAAATAGAGGGAATAAATCAAAGTCCTTTTATTTTTATCTTATCTCTTGTCCGAATGATAAGTTAATTTATTTTATTGTTTGAAAGTTAACAAAAACTTCTAATGCTTGTGCCGGAATGAACATGACACGTCCTTCAAGAGCACCATAAACATAAGGGCCCTCACTTTTGAAACCCTCATAGTAGAGGGTAGATTCCGAAAGTGTTTATGCCCGGAATCAAAAGCTATCGAATAGGAAAATATTCCCGAAACTTTGTCAGTTAAATGCAAAAAGAATATTTTTTACATAATAATTAAGCAAAAAGTTTCTTTTATTAATTAAAGTGCCAAACTTAGTAACACACACACACACACATATATATATATAAGAGTCTTCATTGTGTCTAGCGGGGAAAGGTTGTTCAGCTACCGGTTCAAGGCCTTCATCTTCATTGCTTTGCCCTTTGGTTCCCGAATACTCAGAGTTAGTATTTGAAGAATCAGATGTAGCGGGCCGAACAGGAAGGTTCTCACGAGCGGTTGTCTTCAGTTCCTTGGCCTTGGCAATACAGTCATCAATTTTGTAAATGCCTTCTTTGGCCTCCTCTAGAGTTTTGCTCTTCGTATGATAAATGAAGTAGGATTTATCGAAGACGAGGGAATCCTCTTGGTCCTGAAGTTTTGCTCTGAGCTTATCAAACTTGGAATGGAGCTTTTCATTTTCAACTTTCATTGTGTTGATTTTGGAATCGAGCTCAACATTGGTGGTTGAGTGAAGTCGATTCTGCTCCATGACTCTTTTGAGTCTTTCTTCTATTTCTGCTCTCCTCTCCTAGGTAGCATTGAACTCCTCGGTTTTGGAGCATAAGTTAGCTTCCAGATTATTAACTTGCTCTATCAAAGCAGACTCGCGCTCAACAGCAGCAGTCACAGTGTCGTGCAGTTCGATCCACTTAGCCTTTATTTCCTTAAGGTTTTCATGTAGCTGGGCATCTTACTGGTTGTAGGCCATTCTATGTTGCTCGGACTGCTGCAGCAGGCGCTCGACAAGTTGATTCCGTTCAACCAAGAAGCAATCTCGTTCCGAAATAAGCTCTTGCTTGTCCAAAATCAACTTTTGTAGGCCCTCGAAAGCAAAAAGTTGGCCTGCAAACAGGTCAGTAAAAAGGTTACTAATGTGAAGTATAAATTAAAAGGAGATAGAATAAATTTAGATCATTGCGCGTGCCAAACAGTGCATGTTATTGTTTATAAGGCACTCCGCAGAAGGAGAGTTCATTTTTCTCCATTCCTTTGCTGAGGCCAGTGACTTCAGGTAATTGGCAAGTTCCACTGGCTTGGAAAGTATATGGTACTCCTTCAAAACTGAAAGAATGGCAATTCGCTATCCACAAGGGTCTTGAGAGGGTTCCGAATAAGTATTTCTCAAGTTCCCGAGGCCGGGAGACCGTGGGGAAGAGGCATTCACTACTTATTCGGTTGGTGCCGGTGGAGGAGAAGCAACAGGTGCCGGTGGAGAAGGAGCAACTGGTGCGGATGGAGAAGAAATGGTTGGTGTAGAAGGAGTGGCAGTTGTTACTGGCTCAGTAGTTGGTGGAAAAGGAAGGTCAGGGGCGAACTCCTTTGACCAGTGACATCGACAAGGATTGGAAAGCGGGAATTGGTATTTTCAACCAAACCCTTTCCCCAGAGTGCCTGAGCTTTTTCTGGTGGTGGATTTTGAAGCTCTCCCGATTGAGCACCCGGTTGAGCTGATGAAGACCTTTTTCTTCTTTGAAGAGGGGCATCTTCATCATTAGCCCCTTCTTCATCATCAAGGACCACTGTGGCCGGTCTGATTGATGTTCCTCTCACTCTCTTCTCCTGAGTCCCAATTTAGGAGGTACGCTTCCTCTTTGGTTTCTTATTTTTGGACTGGGGACTCCGAGAGGAGGCATCCTCACCGGAGGCACGAGTAGATCCATGAGCCCTACTCTGGTCAAGGGATTCTGAAATACCCATCCGGCCTCTTCTGAGTCTTTGAGAGCCTCGACGTCGGGGCACACGATGGAACTCTTTGGAAGTCCTATGTGGAGCGAAAGGGCAGTTAATAGATTGTTCCTAAGTTGTTAAGATTGAAAGAAAGAAGATTTTTTGCTTACCGTGATTCTTGTCTTTCCATCCATATTTGGGAGTCATCTCTTTCTACCGTAGGGATTCTGGTGTAGTAATATCCAGAATTTTCTGTACCCATCGGTCCAGGCCTTGAACTCATGGTGGTTCCGAGTAAGTATCTGGATGAAGGAAATAAAAAGTCAGCAAAGAAAGAAGTTTTCTTTTTACATGGAGGGGAAACATGTACCCGAAGACTTACGGAAAAGATTCCATGACTTAGGGAAAACTGGCTCTGCGGTCGATATGATGTCTCTGGTATAAATGACAACGAACCGTTTCATCATCCACGGTCGTTGTCATCATCAACGCTGGTAAGGAGGGCATGATGACGGTGCCTGCTAAGGTTTAGCACACTCCCACAGAGAATCTTTGGGGAGTAGAGGTGCATTATATGCGCGAAAGTTAAGGTTTCCCCGATCTCATAGCATAACTAGCGGAGGCAGGCCACTGTACACCATACAAATGGACCTACTTGTGCTAAACAGACTTGGTACCGGTGGCACAATTTTAACATTATTGGGTCAATTCCTTCACCCACTCCCAAGGTGAAAGGACCTAAAGTGAAGGGGTATGTATAGACATACAGGAACCCCAGCTTGGAGTAGGTAACTCGCTCTATCACATCGGGGGTGAGGATTTCGACGTTATCCCAACTACATTCCTTACAATAGAGAGAAAGACGAATGGAAGAAGGGTATCTACGAACAGGCTAGAACCTGTCACTTTTAGAATTTAGAGGTGGTTTGTGTTCTTGAAGATCAGATGTCGTGCTAAGGTGAAGTGGTATGATGGAGTTTATGGTTGGAGGTTCAGACTCGACGTCAACCTCTTTGGTTCTGTTCTTCTTTGGGTCCCTACCGAAGAGAAGGCCAGAGTTTCCGGGGACGACAGTGTTTGAAGACATGTTTATGAAGAAAAACTTTTTTACTGAGAAAGTTGAATATTGCAGAAGAGCTCTAAGGAGATTCGAAGAAGAAGAAAAAGGAGTTGTGAAAGTAAAGAGTGAAATGATTACTAGGGGAGAAGTTATAGACGACAAAAATCATGGTCATGCTCACCTCGAAAACTGGCAAAAATATTTGCTAAATCACGGGGCAACACGTGTTCGGGTCATTAATTGTGAGAAGACATGCGTCCTTTCAAATGTTAGAGACCGTTCAGGAACTTTCCCACCAAGAAAGAAATTCTTATCCACTTCACGGTAATGCTAAGTTGCATCATCGGGAAGTAGGGGACTATCTATATGGGGTAAATTGGTTAATGACAACTAAGCGAATAACGGAGTGACACGTGAAACAAAAGACAGGTGGGATGTGAGTCAGCAAACAGCTGACGCCAGATGCAAGCACGCAACTAGTGCTGAACGGACTCCGAAGACGAAGCAGCCGGTAACAAAGATTCAAAGCATTGTCATCGGATAACATTCAATGGGCAGCCGTTACAGAGATGGAGTTATTCCCCAGCGGCGTTGTGTCTTCTTTCTCCTTACTCTGGGAATGAAGCCGTAAGCCGAACAGAATACGGATCTGCCAATTCCATGACTTGACTGACTTCAGACTGGAATGAACCATCCAATAAATCTTTCGCCCTAAGTAAGAATATATGCATTTATAGCCAATCGTTATGCACCCATCAATGACGATTTTATTCTCATTCAAGAGGAGTTTGATTTGAGGATTTGGTCTCCATGAATCAAACCATAAATAGGATGATTAACATCCACTGTAGACACAAAATACTCTACACACAAAAGGCTATAATCTACTATCATATTACGCTCAATTTTAGCGCTTGAATATTGCTTTCACTTTTGTTATCGGAAAGGTTAAGTTCTTAGTCAGGCTTGTTATCTTCTCTAATTTCGTTTGACAATCTTACTTTTGTTCTCATTTATTTATTATTTTTAGGCAAATCGAGTCGCTTGTCTATAAACCACGCTATAAATTCAACTGTACCGTTTTATGGGTAAACAAGTATAATAACAAAGCTTATCATTTGTTATTATGCATCATCTGCTTCTAATGTTTAGGAGGGTAATTATAAAAAGGAATCACAATTTGTAAGTTAGAAAGTGAAGCCCTGTACCTTTGCATTTCATTCTTTACTTGGAGGTGAACATAAGTGAATTACATTTTCCCAGCATGAGGACCAAATATTTTGAACATAAATGAAGCATAACTTTCTTACAAATAGACACAAGAAACATGTGATTTCGACAACAGTGTTAGTGTAACAAGATAAAGAATATGGCTGTAAAAGCTTACTATGGTCATCAAGATCTTGGAGATTTCTCCAACAGTGCAGAAAGATAAACTTCATCCTTAGACTTGGAAGAAATAGCCCACATGTGTTTTTTGTACCTGAATTGCAGGAACATGTACATGAAGTCGTCGAGATCCCTCCTGTTACAGAAGAATCGATCAATCCATAACAAGCCTCCTGGTCTTAAAACGCGATCCCAGTCAAAAAGGATGAAATCTAATAGTTGCAGATCAATCCAACCATCCATAAGTCCAGTCGTATGGATCAAATCCATCGTGTTGTCAAAAAATGGGAGTCGTTGGTTCAATGTCACATACAGTGGAATCAGACCCCTAAGTGTTATCATCTCACTAAAAGGAGCCCCGAGATTCAGAGCAGTGGAGATGATTGTTACATTCTGCTCTCTCATTCTTGCAGCAAAAGTCCCTGTACCAACACCATAATCCAAACCAATTCTGATCTCCCCCGGTTTGATCGCCAAAACATCTTTGATCAAGAAATGCACTGGAACAGAGGAGTTTGTTACCCATTTTAGCTTTTCCTTCTCCATTTCAAAACATCCTATGCACTTAGTATAGCGTCGTCTTGAATTCTTACTTGATAAGCACTCAAAGTTCCTGCACTGGTAATTGCTCCATGGAACGTTTCTTCCATCTGGAATTGTCCAAAGGGACTTGGTAATTGGATAAGGCTTCAGATAGAGCTTAGAGGCCCTTGTAATGCATCTTCTCCTCGGCAAAGGATCACAACCATAAATTATTAGCTTCTGAGCCAAGTTCCAATCATCTTTACAATATGATCCAATGTCATAATCCATATATTCCTCTAACTCTTTCTTCATCAAAACACACGCATGCCCTATCGTGTTATAGATCTTCAGTGTCCCGTACATGTTAACCTTACCATTTCTATTCCCTTTAGGGGCTATATACTTCCTGATCTCTTCAATCATAAAGGAATTAATCAAGGGAACTTCTTTAATTGTCACAGTTCCAATTCCTTCAACTCTTGGCAGCCTAATTTGCCTCAGGGCAATTTGCGCCCAAGATAGAGGCCTAATCACCTCTTCCTCCAGAAACCCCTTGTACTCCAATATTGAAATTTTGCTTCTAGATAGCTCAATTTTATTCTTTTCCATCTTTTTTACAGTCAGTTCTAGCTTGTTTTGCAGATTTTCAAACTTTTTAAGCACTTGATCAACTCGAGCTCTCAGTGATTTTATGTCAAAACCATCATGCACTGCTTTCATGCCATAAAGATGGCGGCATATTTCCTCATCATGCATGAAAAATCCAACAGAATAGAAGCTAAAAAAACTCGAAAGGCTTACAAATATAAGAAGCCCCCCAAGCACAAGTTGGAGCCAACTAATAATCCTTCCTAATGCACGTTTTCGAATATGAAAATAAGGCTTCCCCATCCTCAATGACTAACAAAAACAACTATTTCTCAATCAAAGCAGAACAATTTTCCAGAAAAGAATTCAAAATGAGATGGTGCAGTGCCTATAGAAATAGCATCCAAACAAGCAAATAAAAAAGCTGCTCATTGTTCAATTACACCAAGAAGGGTAAAAGGGTGAACTGACCAACGATGGTTGAACACAAATGGAGAGAGTTCTAAGAAAATGGCTGTTAGAACCCAACAAGTTGCTCAAGTTTAATCCCTTAAACAGCTACACTGAGTGAACTTTATAGAGCTGGAAAATCGTGAACTCCAAGCTTAATAGCTGGGCCATGAGATTGATAAAGGAAGAGAAATTCTCGTGAAGGAACTGCCTATAGCTCAGAATTGACACAATACTAATATAAAAGCGTTGACAATTGAGAAGGGAGGGGGAACCGTTTCATTTGAGTAACTGCTTCTTGTGTCAAAGGTTGAAAGCTTTTGACCGTCCCAAGTTTCGCATATCCATATAATATATGCTAGCGAATGAGTTGAATTGGAAATCATCTTTATTCTTTTCTGCTGAGACATGATCATGTGTTTTCATGATCAACTTGTACATAGAAAATAGTAAATCTGTTTTATTTTAACAGAGAGCCTATATACATATATATATATATGTATATATATATATATATATAGAGGGGGGTGTAGAATTTTTATAACATGGGTGCACCACCAAAAAAAGGGGGAAAATTAAGTATTAAGTGGGAATTGATCCTTATTCGTCTAGGTAAATAACTTAACATTTAACCAAGTGCACCATTTAGCCTTTTTGGAGCATGAGTACCACTAGGTAGTATTTGATCAATTCTAAAAAATATATACATAAATACCTAGTTTGGCGGAAAGATCATGGTTTCATGTGCCCCGTATATCGGGCTATAGATCTGCCCCTATATATATGTACGTGCGTGGCACGTGTATGCCGTTTTGCGGTACACAATGTTGTAAAATATTATTAACTAAAAGCTTTAAAGGCTCGTTTGGTACGAGGGATGAGGAATAATTAATCACGGGATTAATGTTGCTCCCAAACGCACACGCAAACATACGTGGTCGACAAGTAATATAATGATAAGTTGAGTGTCGAACCCACAGAGACTTGTGTAAACTACTCACTAAATCGCTAAAATTGTTATTCAGTCCAGCTAAAATCAAAGGCCGATAATATGATTATATGATACTACGATTCTAAATAATAACTAAATTATCAAGTAACGAGTTGGTTGTTGTGTATTCAGTAGAGACAAGTATTCCAGGGTTGTGATCGATTCACCAATCGTATTGTGTTCTAATTAACTCTCCCTTTCATATAATTCACTCATGGTTCTCATAGCCTTCTCCCGAAGTACTACTCACCTATTCTCAATAGATTAACGCCTATATTCCTATGGAATCAATCTATTAAGAACGCATTAAGGTCACGATATTTAATTAAGCGCTGTGACTAGGTATATTCCTATCCTAACCACAAATTCGCTCCCCCTAAGGGTTAAGATCATGCTCTCTTCAATTCTTTTCTAATCTAAACACGGCTTTCCCAAGCATAGCATAGATAGTAAATAGAACCTAACTGCTGGCCAGACAATTAAGCAATTAAATACAGAATTGAAGAAACAACCATATATTGGTGAATCAAGGTCAAGTTAATATCAAACAACAATATTCATGGCTAAATCACAACCCCAGAACAATGGGTGTTTAGCCACTCATGATGTAATCAAACAATTGCATAATTGTTGAATCAATTGAAAATACTAGCAAAAGATGAAGAAAACTGAGAATTCTCCACTTCCTCACGATGTGTGTGTTTTTACTCCAAAGTGGCGTCTCCCCCTTCAAAAATAGGCTTAGTCTTGCTTTTATACGTGTTGGGTAGGTCTAGGGCCGAAATAACCTTGTCCCGGGCCAAATATGACACATTTCACGTCACCGGCCGCCAGCCCGGCGCCAGGCGCCCTCCACGGCGCCCCATTATTTGTGCACACTGTTTTCGGCGCTACAGGTGGCACCAGGCGCTGCCTATGGCGCCCAACTGGCCCTTTTTCCCGGTTTCGTTCGTTTTGGCTCAAATCTTGCGCGTTTCGCCCCGTTCCGTTTGGAATTTGGAAAAACGTAAAACATGAAAGTTGTAGCCCTTTGAGTTAGCTTTCCAACTATATATTGTGGAGACCAAATGGAGTTATGAGCAAAAATTTATATCCATTTTACTAGACAGTATGCAATATGCCTACTCGATTTTTCGTTCGCTCTAACTATCATCCGTTGACCCCCAAACACGATTCCGGCTTAATTCCTTGAGCTTTTACTCAGACTTCAAAGCTCCAAATCACTTGAATTCATTCCATAACATCTATATAGCTCAGAATCACTCCTACAAGGCATAAAACACATAATTAGTGCAAGACACTAGCGATTAAAGCTCAAACTCAATCAAAGTGCAGTAAATTTGAGCGTAATAATAAACTAAAATACGTAATTATAGCCTATCATCAACACCCCCACACTTAAACGTTGCTCGTCCTCGAGCAATGGGACTATCTAATAAACCCACCCCCCCCCCAACTACGTACAAGTATCAATTATAGAGGAGTACTTTAACTTTTACCCATACACTATACCCTAGACTATGATCAATACCGGCACATAAGCATGAACACACAAAAATTCACGTTCTTCCCGTCTTAGCATGCCCAAGTATAATATTTCACTTCAATCAATTCCAATAACCTATTTGTCACCACCCAACCTCAAGAACCGACTTGCAACCACTAAGCACCCTCAACTCATGCACTTACCCAATAAGAAAGTTTACAACATTATCAATCATTCATGAGATCATGTGCTCTTACCAACAAACAAAAGAGTGAATATAGATAGTCCACACATTCAAACATACTTTTGAATATAGATTAAGGAAATCTCACAATTTGAACAATATTCGCTCACTCTCACAAAGAGTTCATATGCATCCCGTGGTCGTACCATAAGCTTGCCCGTAGTGTATATCTCTACTAATTTAAGCTAGCCAAATCTAGGATCAATTAGGACTTTTAGGTTGTAATGTAGGCTAAGGGACGGGTATGATACAATTAGAAATAGTGGCTCCCTCCTAAGCACTTTAATACACTACATTCACAATTCAAGCGCATATTCTTCTCAACCAAATCACTTGCCATACGCAACATAGCCCTTACGTTCATTCAATCACTTCTATACTCCCACTAGCACAAATTATTAAGAATTGGAGGTGTTTTCTACATACTTTCACTATCATTTTTCTTTTCTTTTCTTTCAATTTTTCTTTTCCTTTCTCTTTTTTTCTTCACACACTCCATACAATAAAGTTCATTGGCTAGTGTCTTTGATTTCAACTTTAGTGCACCAACGGGCCCTTCCATGGTTCCCCTCAAAAGCTACTCCTCAATCTCTAACCTTATTTCTTTTAGCGACTAAGTGCCTTAGGAGGTAAAGGTTCAATCAATATCAAATTAAGAACAAAATAGGGGTATGGCTTGTAATGTGGGTGCCAAAAGAAAGGTCTATAGGCTTAAAGGGGCTAGCAACGGAAAATTTTATTTTTATGTGACAAGCACATCCATGATCAAGCAAGAAAATGCCTACGTCATCTCCTAGATTAGCACACTTACAATTTCGCTTCAATTAACACACGGGGCAAGTTCTAGACTACACAGGATGACATAGAAAATCACAAATCCTCACACACACGATGCACATGACTCAATCAAGACGGTTCTGTTCAACTCTCAAGTCAAGCAAGCACACATAATTGAGAAATTTAAGCAATATTGCACTATGTGGCATACGAGTCAAACAACTGAGAAAAGGCGTCACAAAATAGGTTATTTACTTTACTTAGGCTTCACAATTCAAACCAAATACACAGGAAAACAGAATGTATGTCATAGCCTAATGTGCCAGCATCAACCATGTTAATAAGTATCTCGGAGCGACTCGGTTTCTTCCTAAACTACTCCTAAAAAAAAGTACCCGGTTCGAGCTACACCCTGGAAAAAGAACCGGCGCCCAAAGAAAAACCAAGGGATACTACCTAACTATCCTAAAAAAATCTTTTTGGTATTTTTAATCGGACTTTATCCCTCAAGAAAATTGTCCAAAAGATCCATCATCGGGAAAAGTCTGAACTTTTTCACATTTTTTTTCAATTTTCGTTTTTTTACCTAGACTATTTCTACTACGAGTTCTAAAAGAAAAACTAAAAAAATAGTTTTATACAATTACACTTCAGAAAGTAGTTACCCCACCGTACACTTATATTATGCATAGTCCTCGATGCATGATCATAGAGAAATATTAAAACAAGGGTGAGAAATACTCCCTGAGACCCTCTCGGGCCTAGCTCGGACATGATCCTCAATATTAAGGGTCGGGACGACCCCACACTTAAGCTCAAACATGATCCTCAGCTTCAACTTTGGGTACTCAGACTTCCCCTACTCTGCAAAACAAAAATAACACAAAACTTGACACGAAAAAAAATTAATCAATAGCTAAAAGATATACATGTTGGGTTGCCTCCCAACAAGCGCCTTATTTATAGTCGTGGCACGACTCTGCTACTCTGCTCAGGCTGGGTGCTTTCTCTTCTTCTTTCTCCCATAAAGTCTAGCCTTTTTGCACACTCTCGGAAGGTCTCCTCTTTCATCTCTGGCTCTTTTCGCAGTCGTCTTTACACACTCAGCTTGCAACACTACCTCCTCTAACTCAGTTGTCCCATCTGGATCACTACAATTCACATAGAGACTCTGCTCTATCCCTTCGATTCTACCACAGTAATCATGCACAAGTCCTCATAATGCTTAGGGAGCTTAAGTGCCTTGTACACATTAAAAATGACCTCCTCATCGTCAACTCTCATTTTTAACTTCCCTGCCCTCACATCAATAATTGCTCCACCAGTAGCTAAGAATGGTCGCCCCAAAATAATGGGCACTTCCTCATCTACCTCGTAATCAAGAGCAATAAAATCAGCAGGAAGAATAAACTTTCTGTCACGACCCGAATTTCCCACCCTCGGGAGTCGTGATGGCGCCTACTAATAGGAGCTAGGCAAGCCAATTAATTTAACATTTCTCTCAACATCATTAACAGTACAAAGAAGAACGAAGTAAGTAATATAAAAGCGGACGTCTCGATACATAAATAACTGAAA